GAATATCCGAAGTCAAAAATAGGTCGACAGCACAACCAGTTGAACATCTCAACTATACACATATGGCTGGGTATTTCACCTAGGTACCTACTATCAAATGAACTCCACGCTGGTCTGTCCTCCTCTTAATAAAAAAAAAACGAATTGTATATTACTCATTGAATGAAATTTAATTTTCGACTCGGGCAGGAAAATATTTTCAATTTATTTTAGATTTTTTAAATTAAATAGTGTCTTCACATGTCAAAAATATTAAAGTTTTCAAATATATCTAAGTGTTAGACTAGTTAGACACATTTAACTTTTACGTTTCAGATACATAAATGTAAACAAATAGGTCAGTGTTTCGGTCGGTCATTCATATTATGAAAAATAAGAATTTTATTTAATAATTTTAAAGTAAAGCGTTGAAATTGATGTAAAACGCAATAAAACGCAAAGAGAGGACGCTCAGCTAAACGGACTCAAATAGATTGCTATCGAAACCCACGGCACGAGAAAGAAACATATGGACGTGCTTTGAAGGACTTTGAAATTTGAGATTTATTTTGACCTCTCTCTTCGAGATAAATCGAACTTGCTGTATTGGCGAGTTGCGGCCGGCAAAAGTTGTATGAACGTAGAGTTGTATGTCGTGTTTAGCGGCCAAATAAATAATCATATAAAATAGTATTAAGGAACCAGGGATATTTGTCGTAATAACCAAAAGTTTGCTAACGAACTGGCAACGGCTGTTGCAAAGCATCCAAAACTTCGGGATGTAGTTTAATTGAAAACTAGTTAAATCTTATCTTAAATACTGTCTGTAGTTAACGCGAGTAGTACACATGTAAAAAAAACTTTAAAGCTTTAAAACGAGTACCCCCGTGACCACGGCAGCTGCAAAGCATCCGAAACGTCGGGCCAAAGTTAAGAGTAAATTTAACTAATATATATCGCGTTGAATTCTATTATATAGATTTATGATGTAATGCAACAACAAATTATTTTTATTTGGTACGCGTATACAATATTTTCGGCATGTCCACACTATCGTGAATGCGTAGGCGTCGATATAGCAGCGCATCTGTCCAGCTCGCGACTGATAGCATTGTCGTGGGAACAGCTTACAGCGCGCATCCGGCCGCTATCAATATATCCTCTACAATAGGACCTTTGCTTCTTCTTCGAGGGATTCCATCTTACTTCTAGCGATGCCGGGCGCTGACAAATTACTAGCAGTAGGGCCTTTATATTTATACTGAAATTTTACTTATACGGCAGAAGCTTACTACCTCGATCGTAAAATTAGTAAACTCAGTAGGACACCTAGGACCAGATTCAAATCTCTCTTCGGAATTATTACTCCGTTAGTATGTAGTAGTAGATATGATCGCCCCTGTACTTCGAAAAAACAAGTGAAGCTGTGGGTCCGGGACTTTATCACTAATTCGGTTGGAGTCATTTTTCAAAGCCCACCGACCCGCATTGAAAGAGAATATTGGCTGTCTTTGTCTTCATTTCAGTAGAACATTGAAAGGTTTAAATGATAATCTGTCAATTCGCTCAAAGTCTAAATAAGAAACGTTCTACTATTGAAATAAAATGAAAAATAGTAGTTTTATTATATGTAACTGCGATAATACGTAGACAAAGAATTATATATTGTGTTGTCTACATATAAATTCATTTGTTATAAATATATTAAGTCTATAATTTACGCAACTACTAGCTACATATTTAAATAGAATGCGTTCAAGATATGTTGAATTTTACATTCGTTTAAACAGTTAAAAGTACTTACTTCAGAGGGTAGGTATAGATTACAAAATAACAATAACGCAATCAAAAGCCGTTAAATAAATATTGCATTGATGACACGTAAGTCATAGGTGGCTCTAATGACATAGTGTTAGTTCCATTAAAAAGCGATCATCAGCTCGTTTTAGTCTTTCTCACAGAATTCGATGACACCTGCCAAATTGTGGGAATCGAGGGATTTTTCGGCGTGCTTTTGACCCCTGCGTTATTCAAGCGGAAGCAAAATATGTTTTTGCGAGTGGAAAAGTTTGTATATCTTCTCATCAGCTTTTCATTAACCGTTACTTAACGCATCAACAAAGACACTAAAAAGTTAAAACGATCCCGTACATACACCCCCTACATACTATTTACGACTCCTGACTATCATACTAGACAAATCGATATTAATTCAATCAATTTTATTTCATTCGCATTAGATTTAATTTAAATTTGAAAAGAGAAAATGATAATAAACACAAAATATTTTTTTAATAGCAAATTATTATAAATCTAAAGTATCTTAGCAAAGTTATTTATTTCACGCACTATAATTTTCTTGCGTTATCTCTATAGTTACATAGTACCGATTGATTGGGTTTAAATGTTTTACTTAACCAAAATGAATGTGGTACTTTTATATAAAAATCGTTTTTTTTTGTGATAGAGGACGACAGACAAGCATGCATGCAGCCATCTAACATCTAAGGTATATGACCGATTTTGGCTTTGGATATTCGGACTGAAAACGAAACGCGATTAAACTAGATGGCATTATCATCTGTGGATGGTGACGCGGATTGAATTTCGATATTCCTACTACTCATTCAATATCCAGATTTCCAGGCAAAGTCCAAATTAGTCAGCCTTGATTTGAGAATTGGTAGTAAATGTAAAGTTAGATTCTTTAATTATTTTGTGACGTTCATAAGTGTACATAGTTACATACATGAATAAATGATTTTTGACCTTTTTGACTTTCAGAAAAAGTATACATCGATTAGAAAAACGTTAAAGCCGGTGAGGATCGAACCCGTGGCCCGTTGATTATTAGCTATACTGCACACCAACGATGGGTTCAAAGACTATTCCCAAATTGTACCGCCGTCCTTTAAGTCAAGTAAGCGTTAATAAAACGCAGTAAACGATTGAATAATAAATAACCAGAAGCATTAAGTTGTCGTTGAACACGTTATGTCGAGGTGAAGAATGTCTTGTGTCGCTCCCATTCGCGAACTCACGACATTCAGATGAAAGAGGCATGAATTAGAGAAAATTATAGTCGACGTAAACTTGCGTCTGCAGTGCGACTGCGCTGCGACTATTTTTTCGTAAAACAAACGTAATAGTAATTTAAAAATCGAAAATAAATTTAAAAAAATTTCGACTTGGGCAGGACTTGAACCGGCATCGTCAATCATCGATGCCTGATGATTTTTAAATTATATAGTGCCTTTATGTGCAATTAACAACATGTGAAAAAAATAAAGTTTTCAAACATAATAGTAATTATAAATCAATGTAGTAGCATCTTAATGTGAGGTCAGATATACATCGACAGCGCATCTGGTTAAGATGTTACTAGGGATCTTCTATCTTTCACCAAGTGAATCGCATACTTGACTTTTTCATAAAAATGCCCTCCTCTAGCAAAGTACTATCTATTTCAAGAAATAACCCATTTTTTTTGTTTGGTTCTTTCCGATTCTTCTTCTTTATAATTATTAAATCTGCAAAGGCTTACTTTTCAGCTTAGATAATGTTTAAGTTTCTATAAGAGATATCAATATATATAAAATAATCGTGCAATAATTTATCAGTAAATGTAATATTTTTTGAAAGCTTTAATCTTTTTCACGTGTGACAATATGATTTTCAATTAATATACATAATACCAACACTATGTATATTAATAATTAAAAATCGACTTGGGTGCGGGTTTAAGTCCTAAATTTTTGTCAATCTAAAATCGATGTAATTTTGTTGTTACCGTTTCAAACTCGTATTCCTTTTTCTATTTATAACTTTCACTTTAAATGATACACGGGATAAGTGACTACTTACCATAGACTCGTGAAGTGTAAACCCTCGGTTCGGTATCAAACTGTTAGTTTTGAAGTTGTGTTAGTTGTGTGAAACCACCAACAGCGGTTCTAATTAGGATTCTAAAAAATAGAAGTCTTTGTGTCAGTTAAAAAGTCGCCCGTTTGCACCGCTCCTGGTCTTATAACATGAATCACGTAATAAGGCGTTTAGAGGCTGACATTGACAGCGCCGATCTTAACTCAATGTTTCAACTAGGAATTTGAATAACGATGTGAACTGCGCTTTTGCGACTCTGAATTAATATTTAACATTATATTTAGACTTGCACCCACTCAAATAGTTTAGCGTGTCTATGATAAGGCGAAATGAACTATTTTAATTGCTACCGTAGTTTGTGTGTTAGTATTATAGTAGTATTGGATTGGATATATTCATTCAATGCAGACCCGCTATAGATTGTGTTTGTGAAGTAATAATTGCAATTTCAGTAGTCTAACCAGAGCTTTGTTTACGTATTATAAATATTTAATCAGCGTATTTTCTAATTGTGTCAATCATAAACTTAGTCGCTTAATTTTAATATTTAGAACATTTCGGTTGTCTTTAATTCGGTGTTCTTAATAGGGATTGTCATTTAAAAAAATAACTTTAACGGTTTATACCGCGATATATTTTAGTTAAACTTGTCTGAAAATGATTTTTAACTACGGTTCGACGTTTCGGATGCTTTGTTTCGAAGACTAAAGATGAAGGATTTCTCTGATGTCAAGGAAAGGGATTAGATATTGTTATTGTTTTTTTAATGAAGTATTTGGGTATCGATGGTTGTGAAAATAAACTTGTTGTTTTTTTTTGTAATCCCAAGTTATAGGAAACTAATTTCATGATAACGTTACATACGTAAAAAACTAAAAGTAAACTCTGGAGTTAACTTGGTGGAAAATTATAAGATGCGCTGCCTAATTTGACTTGGTATTTCGAAAACCTTAAAACTTAACCGACGCGTAAATTTGCTTTAACTATGGTCGAAGGTCAAATTTTTAATCAGATTTTCCAGTAAAAGTAGAAAGAGTTATCGCGTTTATTGAAAAAGGAGTTAAAGTAAAGGCGGATGTTCGATCAGTACAAATGTGATGTAAAAATTCATAAGTGCGAATTAGGTTACGTTATATGGTATGAGTCAAATAAAGCTCAGTGCACAAAGGTCGTCTCCCACGGTCCGGCGACCTCCGGCTCACGCAAATGAAATCAGACGGATCAATCACGCGGATTGTAGACGTGTTGTGTACTACACCTGTGCTAGGGGTGCCACAACGCTCACCTCCGCAGAGTCTCTACCAGACACTATTAGGGGTTGCGGGTGGTCTGTAAAGGTGGTGTTAATGCGGGAAAGTTTAACTAAGAATTAAAAATTTAAACCTCATTAAAGATTTTAGCAGGAAAATCCAAAACATTTCGTTTCAATCGCTTAAAAAATTGCATTTAACAATACTTTTATAAACGATGCAAACGAAAAGTAACAAAGGCAAGACAAGTAACGAAAAGTGTTCGATCTGAAATTTATTTTATTTTATACTTTCGTGTGGACTAAAGTTCAATTAACTCAATATATATAGATAACTGCAATACTTACTTTGTATTTTAAAATCATAAATAATCAAGTGAATAAACCCATTTTGACAACCCTACGCACTTCCTACGTGTCTATCATATTGTAAGTTATATCGAATGCGAGGTACAAAAGAAATGAAATAATATAACTTATTATGTAAGCGAAATATGTTGCTTTTAATGAAGGGAAGTATTTTTGCATAAAACAACCTGGGCTTCCAGCTAGGGAAGTGTTCTAAACAACTATAATACTTCACCGGTAAACCTGGAAATTATGAATACATGTTTCGTTTCCATTCAATTGATTAAGTACCCAATGCCTAAACAAAAATAGGTCGACAACACATGCAATTCCACAATAATATAGAGGGGTTTACCTACCACATGATTATTACCAGCCCTCTGTGTCACACGGAATAAAATTAATGCACGGAGACTAAAATGGTGCTCGCCCCGTACCCCACTGGGGAAAATGGGCACGTATTTTAGGATACACATCTTATATAAGTAGCACTTTCACTGATCCAACCTCAAACGTGAAAATAGAAACGTTCCAAATTGTAATCACCGTTGATGGATGAAGTAGCACTGTTCCTGTTAATAAGTGCTTTGACAATTGACGTGTAATAGACTGTTTTAGGAGGAATATTCTCATGTCTTCATATCACACACGACATATCGAATATTTTCGTTTGACAAGAATAAGCGATATTAAGTCTTCGTATTTGAAGCAAAAATGAATAACATTAGATTTTTTTATTGTAAGAATGCGTGAATGGCCCTAGAAAAAAAGGACTCGTTTGATAATTTTAATAGTTTTTACATGTTATGGCACCAAATTAAGACACGCGGTGGTTCAATAGACCATCAGCACGAAACGCTCTGAATGCCGGTTCAGTCTCGCCAGTCGTAATTTTTTTAAATATAAATTAATATTTAATTTATATACAGCAGTCGTATATATGTAAATGTATCTGTAGGTAGTAAATAAAAGAACGAATCAATTTTCATTTTCAATTTCAATTTTCGTTCTAGTATGCCTAAACTATCTTTACAATTGTATGACTCATAGACATTGAAGAATATCACAAAATATAAGAATCCACACCGCCAAGTCGAAAGACTCTTACGACAATGCATTAATACCGACAAGACCGTAACTTATGTCTCGCGTGAATCACTCATAATACTTAGACTGCCATTAATTGTATTTCCATTAAATACGGGCACAGAAGTTCTTGTAGCAGTTGCTACATAAATTTAAACGTATACGGCTTATGGCGAAAATTACAACTATTAAAAAAATATTGTTATATAAATGCATAATCTGTAATAACTATCCTTACTTTGTTTTATACGTACTCGTATTGGGATCATATCATGTAAGAACTTTTGATGTCTAGACACAGAGATTTCTTGTGTATTCAAGACTACAATCCACATAATAATAAAGAAAAAGTTACAAAATTACTACATTATAGATGTTTTTATATCGTATTTATCAAGTGACTTTTACAATTTCAAGGATATGAAAACGCATAGCATCTTTTCATTACTTATTCTATGGTAAAGTAAATTATTAATATGTATTTTGACAGCGAGGTCTATAAAAGGAGCGTAGTTAGTGGACCCGTTACCGAAACTATGAAACTAAAAGATCATTATTAAACTTTGTTTCTTCCTGACACTTTATACTCGTATACCATTTGAAGATCCGCTCCCAGTGCACCTTTATTTGCGTTTTGCACAGTGGCATATAATCATATTATTACGTGAAATACTTTCTGTACTTTACGCGAGTAGTACACATAAAAAAAAATCTTTAACGGTTTAAAACGCGATATATATTAGTTAAAATTATTTGAAAATTGTTTTTATCTACGGACCGACGTTTCGGATTCTTTGCAGCAGCCGTGTTCACGGGGAAACTAAAGATGGAGGGATGTCTCTGACATCAAATTAGAAAACTTCTACGCTAAGGCCATCTGTTCCGTCGAAGTTGGTATTTGGCGAAACTAGCCGTTGAAAGTGATTTATTCAAATAGTAGTCTACAGTCAAATAGATGTGCACAAAGTGTAATTGTACACCAACGCCGTGTTGATTTTTACGAAACCGAATGGCGCTTATTGTAGTTGATTTTCGGCGTCCTTATAAAATTAAAAATGTTATGCAGTTAGTTAAGCCTCAATAAAATGTCCGAAGGTATTACCATGAATATGAGCATAACATTTAATGAATCAAGATTGTAATGAGTTATCGATCTGTCGCTAAGATATCGGAGGTGTGGTAAATAACACTGATGGCTTATCGCCTTTTAGGGTTCCGTTAGACAGAAAATTCTACAAAATAGTGTCCTTACCTCAATGGCTGTGTATTTCTGTTTTTGATCCCCACCGGGGCCAATATGCTTTTAATCAATTTACAATTTTTCTGAAACATGTTGGACTTCTTCTCGTAATCCGGATTTTAGATACCCATTTAATCACCCGGTATGAGTATTGAAATTCTATCTGGACCATGAAAAAAACTAAATTAAAATTTTGAGTATTTATTTAACTCTACGCCCTAAGCTTTCTCTTTTCGCACATTATTTTAATTTCACTTCCTGCAACAAAAACTTATCAAAATGGTATTTGAAAATATTACAGAATATAAAAATCGAAAATAAATTGAAAAAATTTTCGACTTGGGCAGGACTTGAACCGGCATCGCTAGCGTTCCGTGCTGTTGCTCTACGCTGACGATGCCGGTTCAAGTCCTGCCCGTGTACTACAACTGTATTAAGTGCGGAGTATGAAGTTGATATTATAGCTGTATCATGGTCCGTGCTGTTGCTCTACGCTGACGATGCCGGTTCAAGTCCTGCCCGAGTCGAAAGTTTTTTCAATTTATTTTCAATTTTTAAATTATATAGTGCCTTCATGTGCAATAACATGTAAAAAAATAATAAAGTTTTCAAATATTACCACATTTGAAACGGTTACAAAACGTCCGAATCCTGGAGCCGTAGTTAAATTAAAAATAAGGTAACTTACTTACGTATTAAAATATGTACTATTCGCGTAAACTACAGACAATACTTCAATATAACCACACTTAACACCTAGCTTAAAATGTTGACCTATCTTCAAACAAAAATACAGAACCCGCGCCAGTTTAAACGATTGTTCTTGACCGCACCAGGTTAGCAGTACTTGTTTACCTTTCGAGACGATGAGTTGACGAGACATGACTTCAATGAAAAAAAAAGGCTTATATACGGATGTTGCGGTGAATGATAAAGGACTTTTTTGTTACGACGAATGAGGACGACTAAACAATCACTTTGTATTTGCAAAAAACCGTTTATTATATATATTATTAATGCATCTATAGGCTATCCTCTTTTTTAAATATTCATATTTTTTAATGCTCTAATTATTATATTATATTATGCTCTTTTTTGTAGCACATGTTAACATGTAAATATTTATTTTACGGTTTAAAACGCGAAATGTATTTATAAAACTTATTTACAAATTATATTATTACAGCCCGTCGTTTCGGATACTTTGCAGCAGCCAATTAAAACTAAGTAAGTAACGAAAAAGAAAATTGACGAAACTATTTGAATTAGTTTGAACACGTATAAAAGTAATAATAACCCCACACATCAAAGTTACAAAAAATGAACTTTTTGTCTTAATTAGTATGTAAGTACTGATTATGACAAAAAGTTTCAAATATTATGTATTATGAAAGCATGGTTTTCCTTTAATGCTAAAGTAAAGATATACGTATAGTCCATTTATTCTTAAAAGATATTTTTGGTAAACAAACACACAATGTTCATGAAATCGTGATTTTCTCACAAGGTTTACATTGCTTTACACTAAAAAGACTTTAAGACACAGGATTATACATATATATAATCGACGATTCTTTTTCCCTGTGTCATCTGTGACATTAACTATACTCTATAAAAGGCTTCACTAGTTCTCTCTGGTTTGAAATCGGCCATATTGGTTGTGGTCTTTTGCCAAGTAAGATGAAACCGACTATAGTCTATAAATAGAGACTATTTCGGGAAACAGATTAAAAAATATATACGATAAAAAATTCTTATATAAACAAATTATTATTAATTTGGAAGTTGCGACTCCTACCACTACCCATAATATATCGTTAAACATCGTCAAAATGACGTTGTAATGTAATGGTTACAAATTAGGACTTGACATTGTTGTTTTTGCGTATAATCTCCTCGCACATAATTTAATTTTGTTCGAGAATTTCGTCAACGGATTCCGCACAAACGCGAATATTATAACAAAAACACGATGCGAATTAACCGAAGTATTGCATCGTAATAGCGGCGTAATGATGGTTAGTATTATGTCAAATTATTTCATACCGATCGGGAAAAGTCAAGGTGACCGATTGTGCACCGCAGTAATGATGTGAAGCGGACGCGAGTTGCGAAAGATGGATGCGGCATCGATAGGCCGATTCTGATCTCGAAATTTGGATAAAGAGGGAAATATAGACAGGATGTGTCATATAAATTTCTACATTGACAGTTTATAGGAATAGAAAGTAATATAAGATTTAAATAAAATACTTTAACGGTTTAAAACGCGATATATTTTAGTTAAACTTGTTAAGATTAATTATAAGATGGACAGAAATAATATATTAAGTAGTGTAGTAGTACAAAAGATGACTATATTGGATCGTTTTATTTTAAACAGTAACGTTCAACATAATACCGTACATATTTTCTTTATTGTATTTTTTTGTGTTTTTCTTAACACGTACCTACGTATTCAAGAATACAAAAGCTAAAAGATTTTCCTTTCCATAAATAATTTGCAATTTTTTTTTATTGCTGAAAGAGATTCCTTGTCAGTGACTAGACGATTGCACTCCAACTATCTCATAGTACTTTTTTGTGTTTGTATATAATGTACAACTGTTGAATAAAAATATACCACATCCTTAAATCTTACATCGGCGATCTAGTCGCAATCATTGAAAATATAATAGTGGTATAAAAAACACGATCTCCGGTAAAGCAACTAGATGTGTCCTTAATCTTAATGTCCTGACATTATTGCACTTGATGTTAACACTAATGTGACCATGATACAGCTATAATATCAACTTCATACTCCGCACTTAATACAGTTGTAGTACACGTAGAATATAGCGGTACAACCACTGTGTTAGGCTGTACTTAGATCACATTACAAAGTAGATTTTTTAAGATAGAGAAGGGCAGGTAAGCGTAAGGTTCACGTGATGGAAGATGCGCTTTTTTGGCTTTCGATATTCGGAAAAAAACAGACTCAAACCGAAATGCGATTTAACTTCATGGCTTTTTAATCTGTGTACGGTTTGTGTGTTGTTTGTGACCCGGGCGTATTTCGATATTCCTACCACCTATTTAATATCCAGGTTTCCAGACGATCCTGAACTTATAAATTGATTAAAAACATGCTGGTGGGTATCGAACCCAATAGATAACTGGTCCCGTCAAGGTATGTGTGCTTAAACACATTTGTTTATCATACGTGTATTTACGGACTCGTTGGTTTAGTGGTAGCAATGTTTGGCTAATAATCAACGGGTGGTGGATTCGATTCTCCCCCGGGGTCCAACATGATTTAATCAATTTATAAATTTTTTTTCAAGCGGGAATTGTTCTGAAAATCCTGGATATTAAATGGGTGGCAGGTATATAAAAATACGTCCCGGTCACAAACTACCTTACGCGAAAAAGCTAATAATTAAGATAATTGCTTTTCGGTTTTACTTTGTGGATTTCCGAATATTCAAAGCCAAAAATAGACGACAGGCTTTTTTTGTGATGCTGGAGTGGAGGAATAGAAACGAAATATATAAAAATATATATAGCATCTATAAAGATAGCGTTGCTAGAATAAAGTTGGAGCGAAAAGGCAAAGACATAAAAATAAGAAGAGGCGTGAGGTAAGGTGATCCATTATCCCCCAAGCTATTTATAGCAGTACTCGATGAAATATTCAGACAGCTAGACTGGGAAGACTGCGGCATACCTATAAACGGAGAAAAATTCAACCACCTTCGCTTTGCCGATGACCTGGTTATCAAGTCCAATTCAGCTAAAGAGCTAAATGAAATGCTTTACGACCTGGATGTAAAAAGCCATCAAGCAGGTTTATACATGAATGTTCAAAAAACAAAAGTAATGTCAAACAGCCACAAAGAGACTGTTAGGATAAATGGAATTGTTATCGATTATGTCGATGAGTATATATATATTGGTCAAGTTATAGCAATGACAGATCTAACAACTAAAAAGATAGACACCAGAATTGGAAGTTCTTGGAAGACGATATTAAAGTTACAGCAGGAAAAACGTGGATGAGAACTGCAACACTAAGGGACGAGTGGAAGAAGTTGGAAGAGGCCTGTGCCGGAAAGAGGCAAAGCGATATACCTGTCGTACCAGTATTATTATACTGCTGGAGTATTTCACCTTCCATCAACCGAACCCCATTTTTGTATGAATCGCATTAGGTACCTATTAATATTAATTTAATGTATAAGTTTTGTAATATTTCATATTAATATAAATTGTGATTGTGTGACTAGAATATAAAGAATATTGAACTAAATTAATATTTGTAAAACTAAAACGACGAATTTGCATATTAAAGCATTGTTAAGGTAACTTAAAAATTCTGTAAGCGTTATTGTACTATAGTAAAAAGAATTTTTCGGATGATTTATTTGTTTAAATTAAAACTAGCTGTCCTCGTGACTTTGTTGTGTGGAATAGTGATTTTGGACATAATTGTTATTTTATATTTCAAACAAATTCAGATCGTCGGCAGCATCCCATCGTTTTTGCGAGTTCATCTAAAAAGATAGACTGATACTTTCCCAGACCTCTTTATATAAATTAAAATATGATTATTCTTTCATACATATTTGGTTTCTTCAACTGTTATCGCAATGCACGCAACGGGCGCCCCCAAAGATAAATAATTTACCCATTTCTTCCACATTTCCCTGTGTTCCTTCGCATATTGTCGCATTCTGATATTTTATAGCCTCAAGCCTTCCTCGATCTACAAATTTTTTAATCCAAAGCAATAGTTTTTGAAATTTAGTTTGTTTATGTTTAACAAACAAACTCTATACCTTTATAATATTAGCACAAATGCTTTATACGTCATATTCCAAGATCCACGTCTCCTTTAGTACATTTTTTCGGTACAAAAAGAGCGCATACCGCTCTATCGCCTGCAATATTAGAACATTCATCAATATCTCAATTTCTCGGCCTAAACATCATCATTAAATTGCGAAATATTATAAATGAGTTTAAAACGTACTTTCATTAAGCCGTATCATGCGAGGTCGTCGGGTCAAGAGGTAAAAAAATGACTAAAGCTCATACCAATGTCAATCAGCGGAATGATTGATATTCCGGTATTATTCACGTTAGTTCAAGTGGGCTCATTAGAATTGTATGAGGTGAATTTAATGCTTAATTTACCTTCCGTGAAGTTGTGATATCTGCGGCTTCGAGGCGAACATTCTAGAAGAATCGGTACTTCAATACCGACAAAATGAAGTAGCTTTCAGTATACGTACGTATAGGAGACATAATTAAACTGTCTCTTTGGTGTAGTGTTTTGACTACTCGACCACAGAACACGGGGTACCGGGTTTCGTATTCGTGGCAGAAAAGTTATTTGAAATTTGTTTTTTCAAAATGCTTTAGTAGCGACATGGCTCTTGAATGGTGTCATGACTTATTCTCATTGCTGATGTGGCTATTTTTACAGTCCGTCAGACCTTAAAATGTAGTGTAATGTGTTAAGCTGCAAATGACATAAGGCTTAGTGGTATGTTCAGCTGTATGTACTTCACCCTTATGTACCCACTTATGCGATATATTTAATTATTTTTAGCGAAATTAAAAATACATACAAAGTGAAGACCATACAATATATGAATACCAATTCATAGACACGAATTAATTAAAAATTATTATTAAATAAAAGTTGTTACTTGGCATTTTCTTTCAAATAAGTTCTTAAAGCGATGTTTATCAACGAAATGCAATAGTATGTTTCCCTATAAAAACACGCGGAATTTCCAAGAGCTAATTATACTTATCTCTAAAATCAAATTAAATATCGAATAAAATTTGTAAAACACGCGCCCATAAACTTATTCAGAAGCAAGTGTCGTGTGGGCGTCGCGTGGCTTTATCTAAAGTAGGCTTTTTTCTAAGTTTATGTGAGCTTCAGTGACCTTAAGCCCGTCGACACATAATTTCCTCGCTCAATTGACGTGTGTCACTATTATACAACGCATAATCGATGTTAGTTCATTATAAGCTTACCATATAGTTCAGGAGATGCCTATTAAAACACAATACAAGTCCCAATTTAAAACAAAAAAAAGTATACCATTTAGTATCACATGTAATGTCAAGTGAAGCACTGCCCATTTGTGACTTTCAATTTTTGACAACGTTGTACTTTATTGTAAGACAGACAAACATGGTTCACTTAATAGAGAAAGAAGTACCCCAGGCACATCCATCTTAACAAAGTACATCGAAAAGTTTAGGCTTTAGACATTTGGTAATCTACAGTCTTAAATCAATACCAGATTCACTTCTGGCCTGTAGGTCATCCACGTATTTAAGATCTTTGTTTTCCATACGAAAACATTTTGTCACAAAAATTTAAGTTTAAGAAATATTTTAGGATCGAATCAACTAGCTATGGTTATCGTACATATATTGCTACTCTTAGACCGATGGATCTGGTTAAGTACCAAAAGTAACATTCAGCTCTTAGCCTATAATATGCTTTTGAAATCTAGTTTCCCGTTAAATACGACGCGTTAGGAATATAAATAGCGCCTAATTCCATCGATACGCTGAAGCTGTTAGAATCGATTCTATTCAATATCGAGTCGATATCGATTAGTTTGTTACGCAATGAAAATGAGCTTTTATATTTTCGATCGGGCTCTCAGAATTCCAGAGTCAATAGGAAATGCCGGGGCGTTCGTACTATGCACTTAATTTGTTATAGAAAGAGTATTGCATGTGCGTGAAACGATTTGTATATTCAAGAACACTTCGAGAATTCTTATCTGAATCTTTCTTAGTCTTTCTTCGATAACAACTCGTAGCTGTAATAGTAAAAGAGTTAAATATTTTTTTGTTTGAAGACATTATTAAAATAATACACTCTCCAGTTCTCGCGCCTAACTCAAACCTAGGTATAGTGTAATGATTAAATAACGAAGATGGCTTACTCTAAAAATAATAAAAAAAAAAACACTTTTAACCATTTAAAAACTATTTCATTTTAATGTGTATTAGTCGCGTAAACGTACAGTTTTTATAGTATAGACAGTATTTACCTATTATTAAACAAAATTGATAACTCGAGCGGGACCTGAACCGACATCCGCAGCGATTAGCACTGCTGCTCTTGATGTGTCATAGCTCAGTTGGTTAGAGCAACCGCACGCATTGTTGTGGATGCTGGTTCAAATCCGCCTGTATCGTCATTATTATATTTTTCAAGCTGAATCGATTTTTAATACTACATTATTCTTCTATTATTATTTAAACCTTTACACCAAACTTGTGTATCCATTTATTGCTTAAGCGCTTTGCATACAGGCAATATTTTAAATTTTAATCAAGTACAAATAGCGAACCATCTGTTTTTTATTAGTTCCGCTTAGACGAGCAAAATTACTAAGTGTCAAACAAATAATACACGCCAAGGTTTCCCGTCACTGGTTCACTCATAAAAAAATAATTAATTTAATGATAAAAGTGTGCATCCGTATAATTAATTCACGCAATATACGCACTTGTTATATAAATAATGAATCTAATGATTTTGAAATCATGAAGTGTCATACATGGATTAATGAACAGAACCACCTTCGATGGGTTTTGTAACAAAAACTCGAAGCCGCGATATTTGTTTATTAACGAGTCGAGGCCCTTCAAATGTATTGGTTTTACTCAGCTTGTGTTTGAGTCGATGTAATTTTCGCTCTATTGCTACTTGCCATACGTATAGCTCTGACGGTCTAATGGTAGTAATGTATGGCTAATAATAAATGGATCGTGGATTCGATCCCCACCGATCATCACCGGTAGGAATATTGAAATTTCGTCCGGGTCAATAATTACCATCCACAGATCGTCTGGTCTCGTAAATGGTTCAGTCAAACCTACTCAGAAATGTGTTCGGCTCGTGCATAGCTTTTTACATTTTCCAAATTTAGCTGTGGAAACCGCACTTTATAATGTTTGATGTTAAAGTTTTATTATCTAATCCATTTGCGGGGAATTGTATTCATATGTATAATACATTGCTAGTTGAGGTTTCAAACTTATAGATAAATAAATTTTAAAAAGTTATAAAATTTAGATTGTCTCCAAAGGCGTATTATTGTCTGAACGTTTTCTTTAATGACAAGACCGCCTGGCAGTAATGTGAACTGCTCCTTAGGTTTGAAAACATTAATATTTTTCACATGTTATTGCACATGAAATCGAAAATAAACCTCCTGCCCAAGTCGAAAATTTTTTCAATTTATTTTCGATTTTTAAATTATATTGCTTCTTAGGTTAATAAATTCACAATGTATTTACTATAATAAGACATGTTTAAAAAAGCCGAACTGAGTTTCTAGGGTGTTCTTCTCAGTTTTGTTGCTCTTTTGAACACTATGTAGAATCACGACAAACAGACAGACAAACCAAAAAAATTTTGACGAATCTAAAAAATTTTTAAAATTTTAAAGAGAATAAAGTATATTTTATTTTATTTATATTTATGATAGAAGAGGACAGAAAAGAATGGCTTTTCACTTGGTGGAAGGAAGGGAAATACCCTATCTATATATAACATCTCTCCGAGAAGAGCTAAATCATCATTTTAATTGGTTATTATGTTTCAGTCAATTTTTTAATTATATTTTTATATAATTAACTTATAATTAGCTCATTATAATTAGCTATAAAATTCGCCTTTGAAACCGTTGTCTTTTTGTTTAAGAATTTGTATCACTAGCATAAACTGGGTAAACTTAATTATTGTCTATAGTTTACGCGAGTAGAACACATTTCAATAAAACACTTAAACCGCGATATATATTAATAAACTAATTTAAATAAAACACTTTAACGGTTTAAAACGCGATATATTAGTTAAACCTATTTGAAAATGATTTTTAACTTCGGCCCGACGTTTCGGATGCTTTGCAGCAGCCGTGACCACGTTTAACTAATATATCGCATTTTAAACCGTTAAAGTGTTTTATTTAAATGTGTACTACTCGCGTAAACTATAGACAGTATTTAATAGA